GTGAGGTCCCTGTTTCTTACCAAAAAAAAAATAAATAAATAAAAATAAATAAATAAAACATAAAAATAATCAAGTGTGGTGGTAAATGCCTGTGTTTCCAGGATTTGGGAGGCTAAGGTGGGAGGATCACTTGAACCCAAGTGTTTGAGGTTATGATGAGCTATGACCATGCCACTGTGCTCTAGCCTGAGTGACAGAGTGACACCCTGTCTCAAAAAGAAAAAAAAAAAAAAAAAAAGAAAGAAAGAAAAGAAGGAAAGAAAAGAAAGAAAAAGCAAATGTTTTTCAAAACCACTGAGTAAATAATAATACAGGTGGTAGGTGCAATTAGCAACACTGTTTCAGTGGTACCCTAATGCTGGACATTTATGAAGCCCTGTGTTTCTCATTCAGCCTTCAGCAGCCCACTGAAGCGCAGGTATGTACCGTTCCCATCCCTGTGTGCAAGGAAAGCCGTATCTGGTCAGTCAGGCACTGGGTTTTGTGATGAATTCCACAATGTCACATGACATAATTTAAAGAACTGGCTTTAATGGGGAAAAGCTGGGTTTGCAAAAGATGAGAAGGCAGCTATCTCCAGCACTGCCTCATCCCACTGAGTTTGGGTGCAGCCTCTCCCCAGGAGGATGGGGAAGATGGCCCACTCAGGCTGGTTTGTTGTTTGGGCAACCCTGAATGAGATCCAGGGTCACCTTTGGCAACTGTGCTCACTGAACCGTGATCCCCATTTTACAGACGCAGAAACAGGCAAGAGACATTCAGTGATCAGCCCAAGCCACACACCAATTCCCGGACCCAAATTCAAAACCAGTCTACTTTATACTTCAAGGAAAAGAGACAATTATATGAGGCAATCAGGAGAGGAAAGGCTCTGCTCTCTGTTTTCGGGGCCCTATTTTCCATCTCAGAGAAGGACCAGAGGAGCCAGCCAGCTCTGCAGTTCTTGTGTCCTTCCCTCTTCTATGTGCTGGCTGCCTCCCACCTTGGGCCATTTTGGTGTCTAGGAAGTTCTGAGAGCCACTGCAAGCCCCTCCTCTGTTGATTGTGAACAAGACTTGGCAGGACCCTTGCCATTCCTAACCCCTGCAGCAGAGAATCGTTCCTTGGATTACAGATGACTTCCCCATTCTCCATTTTAAAATGCGTTATAGGGTCAGGCACAATGGCTCATGCCTGTAATCCCAGCGCTTTGGGAGGCCAAGGCTTGTGGATTACCTGAGGTGAGGAGTTTGAGACCAGCCTGGCCAACATGGTGAAACCCTGTCTCTGCTAAAAAATACAAAAAATAGCTGGGCGTAATGGCGCGTGCCTGTAATCCCCGCTACTTGGGAGGCTGAGGTAGGGGGATAGCTTGAATCCCAGAGGTGGAGGTTGCAGTGAGCTGAGATTGTACCACTGCACTCCAGCCTGGGTGACAGAGCGAGACTCTGTCTCAAAAACATAAAAAAATGTGTTATAATCACTGACCGGGGTTCATGATAGAGTTATGTATAGATGTTTTTGAGATCTCTTACATAAGGATCAGGATGAAAATAGGAGCTGTTTCTTTAATTCTTACTACTGAATTTTTTAGAAACACTTTAGTATTCTATTCGACTCTTCCCTTTTTCCCCTTTCTCTCTTGCTGGTTCTGAAAAATCAGTGTAGCCCTATAAATATGCAGAATGTGAAAAGCTGACTTTTCCTATATCTAATAAAAACCTTGGAGAATAATTGAAGTAATTTGGCGTGGGTAGTCAGGTTACATGCTGCATGATATCAAAAGAAAGTCCATAGCAAGGAAATACAAGAGAAAATAGGAAGAGGGGCTGGAGAATAAAACCAGAACATTAAATAATGAGTAACTGAGAAACTACAAAAAATCTTTTTAGAATTACAGTCTTAGAAAAATAGTCGAGGATAGTCAAAGAACACTAGACAAAGTATACATTTTACGCATTTCTAAGGACTGCAAATTCAAAGAAAAGGAAGAAAATATCCCCTCTTCCCCGGCATCTATTCATTAGACAAAAGTCTGACAAAAGCCACAGCCTTTGAGCACATTTTGACATGATTAGGTTCTCCTCCTGTCTCCTGTGCCCCGTTTTGCCTTTGCGATCTGAATTTTAAAGGAATGTTGTCAAGACAGCAGATCATGAAAGGACAGCCATTTACTATCAATCGTCCTAGGTATACTTTTTGGATTATCTTACTCTGGTCTTTATGATTTTATGAAAGATCACTGTATTTATTGTGGGTAGAAAGGTGATGTTGACTTTGTACACCTGGGTGTTGTGAAGGAGAAATGCTGGATTAGAGTCACAAATAACAAAGAGCAGCTTGCAGCCTGCATTTCTGGCAGAATCCTATCGCTCAGTGTCCTGCTCTAACCTCATACCTTTGGCTATGGAACCTTGGACAAGCCATGTGCTACTCCTTAGACTCAGTTTCTGTCAAAATTTTTTAAAGGTTGTTTCTTTTTTTTTTTTTTTTTTCTTTTATTTATTTATTTATTTATTTATTTATTATTATTAAACTTCAAGTTGTAGGGTACATGTGCACAACGTGCAGGTTTGCTACATATGTATACTTGTGCCATGTTGGTGTGCTGCACCCATCAACTCGTCATTTACATCAGGTATAACTCCCAATGCAATCCCTCCCCCCTCCCCCCTCCCCATGATAGGCCCCGGTGTGTGATGTTCCCCTTCCCGAGTCCAAGTGATCTCATTGTTCAGTTCCCACCTACGAGTGAGAACATGCAGTGTTTGGTTTTCTGTTCTTGTGATAGTTTGCTAAGAATGATGGTTTCCAGCTGCATCCATGTCCCTACAAAGGACACAAACTCATCCTTTTTTATGGCTGCATAGTATTCCATGGTGTATATGTGCCACATTTTCTTAATCCAATCTGTCACTGATGGACATTTGGGTTGATTCCAAGTCTTTGCTATTGTGAATAGTGCTGCAATAAACATACGTGTGCATGTGTCCTTATAGCAGCATAATTTATAATCCTTTGGGTATATACCCAGTAATGGGATGGCTGGGTCATATGGTACATCTAGTTCTAGATCCTTGAGGAATCGCCATACTGTTTTCCATAATGGTTGAACTAGTTTACAATCCCACCAACAGTGTAAAAGTGTTCCTATTTCTCCACATCCTCTCCAGCACCTTAAAGGTTGTTTCTATATAAAAATAAAATCATCAGGAAACAGAAAAGCAGAAAAAAATGAAAGCAATCACCCATAATTTATCAAACACAACGATTTTCTATATTTTCTACCAATCTTTCCTAAGTCTACCTTTTTTCCCTTTTAAAAATATGGTAGAAACTGAATTGTATGATTCAATTTTATATCCTGATTTTTCTTTTGGCAGTGTTTTGTCTTTCTAAATAAAAATATATTTGACCTTTAGCCATCATTTTCTAGGACTGCATAACATTTCTCACAGATGAGTTTTTTGTGTTTTGTTTTTTATAATCTTCATTGACAGAGGGTATTTGACAGTGTTGGGGGCTGTTTGAGTATCTCACTAAAGGAAAAAGAAAGTGCAGCCACAGGCCTAATGTTCACTTTGTATCTGTGATGAGTCACATGGCCAGATTTGACTGTAACTGTCTGTTAACTATTGGTTGTGTTCACTTGTAGAGGGATGAGACCGATCTCTTTCTGCAGATCATCTGGGATCATAGCCCATTGACTGTATTATCTTTGTTGGTATCTGAGTGGAGTGAGACAATGTGGGTAGAAGTGTCTCCTCTATAAGTTACTCTCTTTGTGGCTGGGGAAGAGGTTCTTGGCTTCTCTATGCCTCCATTTCCCCAACTGCGACAGTGTGAATATTATTTTAATGCCCAATTCTGAGAAGTATATCTTAACACATTTGGTATTGAGTTGAATGCTGCAATCAATGGGTACATTGTAATTTTTCCTTCCTTTTCCCTCCCTCAACACTGCTTAGAGCTATTACAATCAATAGTATCTTAGTACTGAAGAAATGTAATAATACTTGCCTTACAGTGTCTGTTGTTGAAAGGATTAACAGAAATAAACATAAAGTGTTCTTAGCACTTGGTAAGAGCTCAGTTAATGGCAGTACTTATTTTATTACTAAAAAAAATCTATATTGTTCTTAGAAGAGGAGAGCATTTATTCTGTATAGAATATTTGTTATAAGAAATACATTATTTGTAGGTCACGTATTTAGTTTAAACGCTTGCTGCTTGGAAAATTCCTCAACATCTTTTGTTAATTAGAGATAGCACAGGGATGGCAAATAGGTTTAACTTCATGTGCCAAGACTAATTTGTTGATGATGATTGTCAGACGTGCTGTGTTTCAAGAACTGCTGAGGCAGAATCAGAGTGTAGAAGACAAGAGTGCCAAGGCTGATTAGCAATATCTTTCCCAGGCTTAGGAAGACAGAACGGCAACACATACACTGTTTACCATCTCTGCATTACGGTGTTACAAAACATTACTTGGCAATTCATTAGGCGTTAGCCAGGCCATGGCTTATCAATCAGAAGTCTCATCAGAATCTTGTGGCAATAGACCACCTCGAGGTCCAAGGTGGAAGGCCGAAACCCACACAGGTGAAACTGAAAACTCCAACCCCAGCAGAAACGCGGGAGACCTTGCACCATCTGAGAGGGCAGAGTTTTTGCAATGACCTTAGTTTTGCTCAGCTCTTGTTCTGCTACTGTGCATTTAGGTCTTGCCTCCTGAGCCTCAAACATCCTGTGCCTTGGCCTTGCTAGCACTTTGCTGTTGGACGAATGATCTGCTCTCTTGGTCAATCCCTTGACTGCAGGTTGTTTTTGTTCTCCTTTGCTGTGGGTAAATGGCTCTAAGCACAGGGCCCTTCTTTCAGAGAGGGCAATGGTGTTGGAAGGGAGACTGTTAATTTTATTCTGTGATCCTTGTTATCTGAATCTCAGCTTTTGAGGAACTTATGAAATAAAATCAATCACTACAGGGACACTGATGAAGGCTTAAATGGAAAGTTACGTACCATTTCTTGAAATATTCTGGTAGTCCCTGTGATTACAGTGGTTTCTTTTCCATAAGCGAAGGTAAATAGATTTTTCTTTAATCCTGAAACAAATATATATGTATATATTTAAGGTCAGGATAGTCACATGAAGAAGTTTAAAAAAACCATGTTTTCATCATGCTTTTTAAAAAATACAGTTAAAATGAACTCAAAAAATCAAATCTCTGCTGACAAGTTTTCTCTGAACTGTGAATGTAATATTGGCAGTTGTTATGAGAAGCAGTTCTATGAAATTGAATTGTATGGGTGTCGTAAGAATACTGTTGAAGACATAAAACTTTTTCTTCTGTACAAAGACCTCTAGAGTCATCCCTTTCAAATACTTTTTACCAAGAGATGCTGTACATTTCTTGAGCAATTGCTCATCTTTACCAACTCTGTTATTTTGAACTTGACCATGTTTCCTTTCTTTTCTTTTTTTTTTTTTTGGTTGCTATGAAGCTGTGGTTGACACTGTTATTATCTTTCAGCTTTTTTCTCCCTTCATGCACTATAATAGAATTTTTAGCAAGAGCCATGTCTGTCCAGAATGAGGATTGCATTTTCCAGCTCCTCTTGCAGCTAGGAGTGGCACATCACTAAGTTCTGGGTGAGATGAGATGGGATTAGAACTATCCAGTGGTGATTTCTGGTAATGCTTCTTAGGAAGCCATTGGATGGGGATTCTCGTTCCTTCTTTGTACCCTTTCTCCAGTCTCTTGCCCAGAATAGAAATGCTGCCATCTTAAACTATGGGAATAAGGTCCACATTGAGAAGGCAGAGGGGTGAGCGGGAAGGAGTTCCTGAGAACTGGGTGGAGTTGAGCTCCCATCAATTCCAGACTGCACATTTTCTAAACCTTTCTGTGTGAGAGAAATAAACTCATATATGTTGAATCTCTGTTCCTTGAATCTAATACTAATAAACACAGAGCTTACAGACAAATTTGACACCAGTATCAAGCTATAATTATACATATTCTAAGTCATTTTCTTGGCTCCCTTTTGTCTCATCTTTGATTTTTCATTTTCTTTTGCTTAATTTAGATGTAAGTAGTTTAATTAATGCAACAAAATTTAGTTTAAATGTAATTAAATGTTATATTCTCTAAACTTTCATAGGCTTCCTAAAATCTTTAAAACAAGACCAGATGTAAACTAAAAAATAATAACTTAGCTCAAAATATTTGAGTAGTCTTCAAATGTGTTTTATCTTCTTTTCATTATAGTAAGTTCACATCTCACAACCTTACATACAATCACCAATTATTAAGTGTTATATGAAATCTTACTAATTGTATTACAGTGCTTGGCAACTGTCTCAGTGCTTCAGAAAGGTAAGCATATATTGTGCTCGGGCATTTCAGGATGCATAGAAAATAGTGTCCTTTTTTTGAAGTCTGAGAAAACCAACGATAATGTTTTTTAATAGAAGGCCATGATGCCTGAGCAATATTTTAAGTGTGAGATTTTTGCTTTGTAGTATAATTTTGAGGTGAATAATGTACTTATTTTTTTAAATCAAAGCTACCCATGCACAGAGCTGAAAAAGTAATTTACTTAATAGATGTTTATTGAGCACCTGCTACATTCCAAGTTTTATTCTAGGCACTGAGTTATACTGGAAAATTGAAATACATGATCTCTGCTTCCGTGTTGTTGATATTTCAACAGGAAAAGACAAATAAAAGAACTAAACATTATAAAAAAGCAAATGATAGAGTATGTAGAAAGTTAAAATTCTACGAAAAAAGGAAATGAGAATTAAAGTGGCCAAAGGAAGCCTAATTGAGAAGCTAAAATCAACAAAGACTTGAGGTGGTGAGTCTCATAGAACCAAATAACTTACCTATGTGTGTATATAAGACTTGTGATGATAAGTAGCAACCCCACACCTCCCTCCACTCTCCATTTCTCCATTTCCACAGGCAACTAATTCCAGCCTTAATTGGCTGGGTCTTTTGATATTTTTCTCCTCATCTCTAAGTAACATAGTTTTAAGGCTACTTCTTGATTGTTAGTCTTTAACATTATCTGTTCACTTTCCACTCTAGAAGAGGATTTAGCTATTGACAACTAATCAATAATTGCTTTCTATTTTCTTTCTAACTTTTTTATTTCTGTAGAGTTAATAACTGCCTTTTGTTTTTTTTCCTTAATTTTCTAAGTATTTATCATTGTATTAGCCTATTCTAATATTGCTATAAAGGAATACTTGAGACTGGGTAATTTATAAGAAAAGAGGTTTAGTTGGCTTATGGTTCTGCAGGGTATAAAGGAAGCTTAGCAGCATCTGTTTCTGGGGAGGTCTCAGGAAGCTTCTAATCATGGCAGAAGGTCAAAGGGGAACAGGCATGTCACATGGAAAAAGGAGGAGTAGGAGAGCAAGCAAATGTGCTACACACATTTAAATGACAAGATTTCATGAGAACTCACTCACTGTCTTGAGGACGGTACCAACAGGGATGGTGCTAAACCATGCATGAGAAATCCACCTCCATGTTTCAATCACCTCAAATTTTTCATAAGCCTAAAACTGCTTAAAAAAAAAACCCTATTTAAAAAAAAGGCCCTACATAGCTGAACGGAACTCAGCCTTCCCAGCTGTCCCTTCCCAGGCACATCATTTGAGTGAAGCCATCTTAGATCCTCCAGCCCAGCCCAGCCATTAGGTGATGTCATCAAGTAACCATAATGTCATATAGAGAGGAATAATTGGCCAGCCAAGCTCTGCCTGAATTCCTGAACCCCCCAAATTGTGAGATATGATAAAATGACTATAGTTTTAAGCCACAAAAGTTTGGGGCAGTTTGTTACACAACGATAACATAAATCTGTATTAGGTATTAGTCAGGGTTCTCCAGAGGGACAGAACTAATGGAATATATATATATTAAGTATTAACTCACACTCTCACAAGTCCCATAATAGGCTGTAGGTAGGCTGAGGAGCAAGGAGAACCAGTTCAAGTTCCAAAACTGAAGAACCTGGAGTCTGATGTTCCAGGGCAGGAAGCATCCAGCACGGGAGAAAGATGTAGGCTGGGAGGCCTGGCCAGTCTCTCTTTTCACATTTTTCTGCCCGCTTCTATTCTAGCCACGCTGGCCGCTGATTAGATTGTTCCCACCCAGATTAAGGTTGGGTCTCCCTTTCCCAGGCCACTGACTCAAATATTAATCTCCTTTGACAACACCCTCACAGACACACCGAGGATCAATACTTTGTATACTTCAATCCAATCAAGTTGACACTCAGTATTAACCATCACAGTTACGATTTTTTTCCCTCACAAGTCTGAAGGAATTGACTGATTTTGGCTTTTAGCCTCCCCAGCGTTGTTAAGTATGAAGCAATTCTGTGTCTTTATCTTTTGAAAGCCTATGGTAGTATTTCATTCCAAGTGTTCTGAAATGTTATGATGGCAAGCATGGTGTGTGTCTGATTTTACTCACAGTGTTAGACCTTTGATAAATCCTTTCAACTTGGAAATTCATGATGTTCAGTTTTGAGAGATGTCCTTAAATTATTTCATTGATGATTTCTTCCTTTTTCTTTTTTCCTACAACTATTGGGTCATCTGAACTGGTCTTGTAATTTTCCCTGTTTCTCTGTCCTATTTTCATGTCATGGTCCTTTTTCTCCATTTTTTGGATAATATCCTCAACTTTATTTTTTAATCGTTCTATGAATGTCATCTGCTATTACCAGAATACTTTACAAATGACCTTATTGGTTCTCTGGATATCTTTTTAATTTTAATGTTATTGTTTTATGAATGTAACATCTTCTTTTATCCTTTTTTGAAGCACTTCTCTGCTATAGAATTCTTCTATCTTTTTGAATATATTAATTTCAGTTATTTTAATATGTAGGCTATTAAACTTTCTAAAAAGTTTTATCTCCCTTAGTACATAGTCTCTGTTTCTCTAAGTTGCTTTTTTCCCCTTTGTTTTTGTATTGTCTTTCATGTTTGAGGTTTCTTTCAGATGTGTGATGATCCTGGGTTATAGGCTTATTTTTAAATATTGAAACTGGTTGCCAGCCAAAAAGCTGATTGATTTTGATTGGAAACTGGGCCCCTGGCTGTGCTTGTTGACTGCAGCCCTCACTGCAAGATGAGCTGTCTGGGCCTTTTTTGGAGAACCCTGCTGTCAGCGTCTGTGGGACTCTCCTCTTGGGATGTTCAGATTCCACAAGGAAGGGTCTTCTAGTCTGCAGCTAGGAGAGTACAGATTGGGTTGGCAGCACTCTAGGGCATGTGGGGAAGGGTCCTCAACATTTAGCATTCATGCGTTTTCGTAGGACACTCCTCTCCTCATTTATGTTTGGTGTCTTCCAGTCCAGAGGCCCTTGGCTTTAGCGTTTCCAGAGAACAAAGCTCTAGTCTTACTCCAGAGTAAGGAAGGGGCAGTTGACCACCTGTAGGGAGTTGGAAGGAGTCTGAGGAGCTAACTGCTCTTCAGCAATCTTCCAACGAATACTTCTGGTTTAGCCTCACCTGCATTACTAGAACTCCCACATGTAATGAATCCCCAAGTCTTCTGGGGCTCCTGCAGTGTGAACTGGGCTGCTTCTTGGCATTCCCTCCCACCAGCTTAGGATGCAGCTCTCCTGAATCTACTAAGTCAGTTACCACTCATCTGTCTGATTTCTAGCTACCAATGTTTTGTGGCTGTTGGCTCTTCTTGTTCTCTTTGTCCTCATGGACAAATTCATTTACTGTTGTTAGAGTAGGGCTTTTCAAGGGAGGGATGTAAATGCTTGTGTTCAATCTGCTATCTTACTCAAAAGCCTACTCAAAAGCCTGAAATGGATACCTTATACACTGCATCGTTTATGCCCTCTGCCTTGAATATTTTATTATATTTTGGAAAAACAGATGGGAAATGGGCACTGGATCTGAGTTTGATACTAAAATAATTTTATGGTCAATAAAGAGGAGTCATTTTTCTTTGGGGAAGTAATCCTTACCTATTTAGTCACAAATGTATTTTTGATCATTCTAAGAATGGAATTTGTGTACCAAAATATTGTTTTGCTCATGTCCTGCTCATGAAGAGTAAATAGTGTGGGTATTAATATTATGGATACAGTTAGTTGCACCTTTCATTATAAGAATATAGA